GCTCAGCATCCGTTGCATCTTTATGATTTATTATTATTATACCATAAATGATAAAAATTTAATAATTTATGGATTTATCGCATAAATTAATATCAACAATCATATGTATTTTATAATTCATCACTCCAATATATTCGATAAGCTGCTTTGAATTTGCAAATGATGATAAAATTATACTTAAATGGGCTTTCATTTGTTAATCCCTGCTATTCACTTAAGGTAGTTTAAAGGCATTTTGTTGTTTATCATTTCGACATGCCACACGTCTGCTTCAGGGTGGTAATCATCGGGCTATACATTCCGTGTAGTCAGATTCAGCTTCTTTTTTTTCCTTAACCCAACCAAATCTTTTACCCACGCCATTTGTCTCAATTTGTCAGCGGAGCTGTCCGCGGGATGGCATCGTAGATCAGGCCAGGCGCTCCATAAGAGCAACTGCAGTGCCGCACCAGGTCCCAGGGGAGGAGTGGGAAGACGAGCTGTTTAATTTGAATTGCCAGCGAATCGGGCAAGCAGCGATAAAAAACAGTTGTGGCTTAATAAAATAAAATAAAATAAAAAAGCAAAGCACGAAAACTCCAAATCGAAAGGGAAACCTCAATCAGATTTGTGGATAGGCATAGACATGGGCATGGGCATGGCTAGGGAAAGAGAGCCGAACTGAAGACGGGCACATGTTACAATCCGAGCAATGATAAAAATAAACACACACGCCTCTGGTCTCAGCCATTTACAGTGAACGTGGGATAGGGGCTGCAACTGAAACTGCAACTGCAACTGCAACTGCAGCAGCAACTGCAGCAGCAACGGTAGCGGCAACGGCAACGGCGACTGCGACTGGCTGGGATGTGGCTGGTCGTTTTATGCTCCACTTGGAAAATATAGTCGTTGGGCTGCGCTCTTTGGCGCTTCGGTTGTTCAAAGGCATGCGGCCTCTGAGGGAATATCATGTCAGCTTTGATTACGTTTTGTCATGTTGACATTGTTGAAGTGTTGTCTGCAGTCGGAAATGCAGCTGAAAGGGGGAAAGCAAAGAGGCACAGCAACTGTGTGCGTGGCCAACGATTGAGAGTTGACTCCTGATAGCATTGCCATTGCCAGCAGTGACAATGAGCTGCGTATATTTCATAGCAAATTATACCGCTGACAACAGCACGGGCCTAAAACCAGGCCAGGAGACAACCCGGAGCCGGAGCAGGAGCCGGAGACAGAGCCACGCCAGCGCCCGTGCGCTCCTTAGCTTTTTCGCACAGCAGCAATGGAAAACGAAAAAAAGAAAATGAAAAATGAAAAATGAAAAAGAAATATGCACACAAAGATGAGGCTGTCATCCATTTGGTTGTGCAATTGGCGGCGGCATAAATGAGCGAATGTCGCCCACATATGGCACCTAGATGTCATGCATGAGCTGTAGTTGCAGCTACCCAAATAAATCACATGCATAACTATATCTACTTGTATGTATAAGCATATATATATTTATATATATGTGTGTAGATATCAACATATATTTGCCTTTCATGCGTGCGCATAATATCATAAATTTTCAGCTCATTTCAATTCAAATTTATCATTTACCAGCTAAACATCGCATACTGCAATACATAACATGATTTTCATTCAAACATAGCTGAAAACATGGCTATGTGAATGTAAAGAATTTTATATTCCATTATATGCTATACTACCAAGAATTCCTTAAAAGAATATTAGTGCGGAATCTCTAGTTCAATTATAAAAAAAAAAAAAACGTATATTCTATACGACTGTCCTTATTTTTTATAAGTTAAAAATATATTGTTAAAAGAGCAATATGGTTTTTATTAAAATTTAAATATAGAATCTTATAAATTTTGTATTGATATTTAAATAAGAGATACTATTTATTAACTTTTATAACAGATCGTAACAAAAATACTAATATGAACGAAAAAATTTAATTTACAAAGTTTTCCAATGTTACTCAATATATCGAAAATAAATCTACTTATTAGAATATAGGAAAAGTTTATTATTGAGCGAACAATATGTAATGAACAATGAACAACAATAATACATAAATGATACTAACTCTTTTAAAATGAAATAAATTGAATAAATAATTGCATTTGTTGTCTATATTAGAAATATTTTATTTCTCTTGATAAGTTGAATTATTCTTTTCAAATACTTAGAGCATATTTTTCACTTGTTAATCTCAATTTACTTATCCATTTTGAAGGTATTTAGTAGCTCAGCCTGTTTTTAGTTGTATACACAAATGTATACATCTGGATTAGGGTCCTCCAGTCCACTTGAATGTCCAACTGTGTGTATAAACATAATCCACTTTTCGTCAGTTTCTTTTTGAGTATGAAATTTGAAACAGTTACTAGGAAATAACCCCATCTTACATATAAGCATATTGAATGCGTCCACTTGAAGTGAGTAAGGCAAACCGTGTTAGTTAGGCTTCTAAATTTTTTATTCATTTAAATTGAATATTCCTTAATGTTATTTGTTTTCCATAAACCCTGGAATTTTAAAAAGATTTCTACAAGAAGAAATAGCCTAAGTTTAAATTACATTTAATCATATTAGAAAGATTTATAGAATTCTCGATAATATATGAGAGATTTTGATAAACAAAATTTAAGGTAAATTTGAATAGCATTCTTATTATAAATAAAATACTCCAGTCAAGTGCCTTGACTGCTAATACATTACATTTTAAATTTACTTTTAATTAGAATATTAAATATTATCATTTGCATTAAAAATAACAATCATAATGATTTCAATGGAGCAAAAAATTTTAAATAATATACCTAAAATATTATTTGTAAAGCTTCATTTATTTTTAGACAATACAGTAGAATCCGCAGACAAACTTGAGCAAACTAATACAGTTACACGGTTGAGATTCATTTGCAATTAAAGTTCCTTTTTTACATATTGCCTTCTATTGACTGTTATAAGCCCATTATAAAATGTTTAGAGTGTTATGGAAGCACGATTTGGTTATCTGCAAATTCTTTTGCATACGAAATGATTTTATTTATGCATACACTCTGCATATTCTATTCAGCTCTTGTTCTTTTTTTTTATCATCTTTGTCTTTCGTCTGAAATCAATTAGTGAAAGTAGCTGTTCGCTTAATGTCACAATTTCGGTTTAATTAATAGATCGTAAATTTGTGGCGTTTGTTGTGTACGTCGGCTTGCCACCTAAAATTAGTAGACAGCTGCCCGAGCATGTTGAAATATACATACACTCACTCATATAAATATGCATGTATACAAATATATTTTATGACCCATGCCAAATGTTTATGACCCTCCCGTACAGCGCCAGCGAAAGGATCAACGGGAATGCAAAATTTAATGTGTTGAGAAACATAAAAGTGCGCCCGAAAATTCTTCGGCTGACAAATTAATAGTATATGTCCGGGCTCTAATCGATTATTTATGGGGCTTCCACGAATCTCAATAAAAGCCAAAGATTTTCTTATTAATTGTTCTATAATTGTCTTCCGTTCTCGCTCTCCTTGTCGTTGTAGGCGGCGTTGGCGGCGGCGGTGCCGTAGATTACCCCAACAATCTCAACTCGGGGCATTCCAGGAAGCCGCGTCGCAATCGCACCACCTTCAGCTCAGCTCAGCTCACAGCCCTGGAGAAGGTCTTCGAGCGCACCCATTATCCGGATGCATTTGTACGCGAGGAACTGGCCACCAAGGTGCATCTGAGCGAGGCACGAGTGCAGGTAAGCCACGGGTTAGCTTAGCCAACNCAAATGTGTGCGCTTACATATATATATATATATATATGTGTGTGTGTGTGTGTATGGGTGTTTGTGTGTCTTATACGCATGTGTAAATTTGTATAATAAAACTTAATTAAAGTCGAGCAACAAAAAGGAAAAGACTCTGGTAAACTTTTCCAATCCACATCCCCATTGAAGTACATTAGGTTTGCGGCTAACGCAATTAAAAAGACAGATTGCCATAATGAATGGAAACTACAGTGTGTTGAAACCTGTCTGAGACAGCAGGTAAATTAAGGTATTTATGTAACTTAGATTAAGTTTCAAATGACTTTCTACTTTGTATGCAGAGAGAGAGAGAGAGAGAGGGAGAGAGAGCAAGAGTTATAGTCAATGGCAGCTGAGCCAAAACTTCCCAAAGGATTTAATGCAAATCTCTATGAGACCATCTAATTTATCATACAATAAAGCCTCAACACGATTCCATACATGAATAACTAAGAGTGTTCTATATACGGGTATGCGTGACTACCACATACCCTTGGCATATATGGTTTTATAATACTGAACGTAAGAGGGAGAAGGAGGCGTGAATGAGCCCATAATGCACACAGAAATATTCTTGTACAGRACGATGAGGAGCTGAGCTGATGAAGCCATGTCCATATGTCCGTCTGACTGTTCGTATTAACGGAGCTATCTATAAATGTTAAATGAATACTTACTTTCCTATCGATATCTCATCTTGAGAATTACTTGAATACCGTATGTGCTAGACTCCCGATTTACTTTGTAGGTACTTATATATATACATGCATATCTATGTAAAGTCAATCAATTTTTACTCGTTTTTTACCGAGTATTTATTCGTCTCTTTGAGTTTTTTGTTCAAGAATTTTCCACGACGGATAAATATAAACGAAAATAAAGCCACAAACAATATGAACCAAATATTTTGATCAACCCTTGAGCATTTGTTGTGTGACATATTTGCACTGTGTTCAGTCAATTCGCCGGGAAAGATCAGGCCCGTAAATTCATTAATGTATGGAGTAATGTAATCCTTGTTTTTGGGGATCACTATATTCTGTTTCTCATTGGCAGCTATGCAGCTGGCGATCAGATCGTCGGTGAAATCAAACGAATGATTAATACATTCAATACTGGATTGCTTAAATTTGAAGGCGGTCAGCGTATTATTTTCACGAAGGCAATTAAAAGTCCTGTAATCGATAATATCTACTCCCAAGCAGCTTTCGTAAAAAGTCTCGCCATAGATAATCACATAGGTCTTCGGCAACGTTGCTAATTCATATATGGTATAAGGATTGCCTGTTTTCAGCTCATATGCACCCCACTTTCGTTCGAGCTCGTCCGGATAAATATCAGAGCAGAACTTCACCCAATCTGGTACATAGATGTAGGAGCAAATTTCGTTTTTACTTACGGAAAACATTTTTAAATATTTTGATTCGGATGGGACTTGAAAGTGGAATCGAAATTGTAAGTTGGCTCTTATGATTATAACGTTGAAAACTTGGCCTAGGCTAACCCGATCTACGCAGGATAGATTGAGTATATTCTTACAATTTTGTTAGTTTTATTTCTAGTATCGAATCTACCTTCTTCAATGGGTTCAGGGTATAATAAGTATGCCCTATAATAGCAAACCACAATAGAACCACATTCCGGGGGTATCCTCGGCGAGTGTGGGGATATTCACTTCTGTGCCATTCGCTTAATAGACAAAAGGTTAACAAGTACTATGAAAAAGTTTAAATGTAAATAAAAATTCCTTTCTCATGCCGGCCTGACAGGCCACAAAAATGCAAATTAACATTTGGTATGTAAGCGTTATCTGCAACTAATTTGCATAAAGAGCAAGTGTAAGAGAAATGGAATCAGTGTGAACGAGTGTGCGTGTGTGAGTGTTTGTGTGTGTGTAGTCTCAACATTTTTACAATATTTACCAAATGACAATATGGCTTGAGAGGCAGCACAGAGGCAAAAAAAATGCGTTAGTCCCTTATTGCGATGCGGCAAAATAGTTGCAGGCGACACGCCAAGGGATGGCAAATTAACCGAGCCACGACATTTGCTGACATGCTACATGTTGCAAGGCAACAGCACCCTGACAATGTAAGTTGAAATAGAGAGTAAGAGAAGACCGCAGAAATGCAGCCAGAATGAGAAATATGGGATTGGGAGAGTGAGAGGGAGTGGTAGCTTGTTGAAATCAAATGTCGTACAAGAAATTCCAGTTCCAACAAGGCGCTTGTATCCCTATTCCTACTAGGTGACGAATTCAGCTGCGAGTGAATTTCTACATTATCACGTTGAGCTATTCTCGGTGCAATGGCTTAGGTCTAATGTACCCATTAACGGTAGATCTGTTAATACCATATTAAAACAATGCTTACTGACCTCCTAGAGTACTGGAAGGTAATTTTATGTACTCTTGCTCGATGCATTTCATCGCTCATCGGCCAAGCTAATATTGATGTCTAATTTGTTCTGTAAAATTGATCTTTTTAGTTTTATATGATTTTTTATCCATGGCTAGATTTTTAGATCAAATATGTATTAGATATCAATGTTAATTCCTTCAGATTTTAGGAACATGAACTTCAGTTATCTCCACATTCAACATCATCAGTGCCCGAATAACATTGCAAGCGATATACTCATATTACCTTTCCATGCAGTATCTAAACTATATAAACAGAGGAGCTCTCAGTTTAGTTGGCTCTGTGCCCGCAATTTATGTAATTGCACGATAATTTAGGGTCTGTTAAAAAACAATTATTCATACAGATGTGCATATATCAAAGCGAGTGAGAGCTCCTACATAGGGCTGACACAGTCCGACAGAGTAAGACAACAGGAGGCACTTCAATTGCCCTCTGTTCTGTCAGATGAAAGACGACCCGAAGCGCAGCCGCAGTTTGAGTTGCAGTTGCAATCTTCTTGACAGCTCCTTAAACACACATACACATACATAGATACTATGACGAGGGTGATGAGATTTGTGTGGTACTCAAGCATGTGCTCGAATGATGACGAATTCTGCGTAGCTCTGTTGTGATCCGGCCGGAGACAATACTGTCAGCATTATAAATCATATGGAAGACTTGAAAAATATAGCTCATGGCTCTATTCTAATCGACGATACTTCATTCAATTAGACAATGTGCAAATTTCCAACTATATAGCTATAAAAAGAAAACTACAACCCATTTAAAATTAAAATGCTTCTTTATTATGCCTAATTCTTATTTTTAGGAATGTTAAGCGAAATTCAAACACAACAAATTCGAGCCAAAATTCATGTCAATTGAACGATGTATAGAATTACGCTCCTCTACAATCAAATCATACGAGGAAAAGTTGGGAAATTAATCCAATCGGCTAAAAAAGAGGGATGAGCAAATAATTTTGACAGCTGAAACCATTTCTTTATTTGGCTTACCAGGCTTTGTATGTGAATCCACTATTTATTAGCTTTTTGTGAACGATTATTTTTACAAGAATATTCTTCGAAAGATTGCAATAAGCGTAAATACTGCCACAAAAGCCAATAGCCAAATATTCTGATCAATGTTAGTTCCTTTGTTGCGTGTCTTATTCATAGCAAATTCATTCAGTACGCCTGGAAAGATCAGCCCCGTATAATCATTTTCGAGCATGGGATTTGTCCTCGGTAGTAATGTATTGTTGATTGTTCCCGCAGTTGTGCAACTTCTAAACAAATCGCTGGTAAACGCAAACGTAGTATCAATGCATTCGATATAAGGTCGGAAAAAGGAAAAGCTACGTTGAAACCCATTTGTGTGGGTGCAGTTAATTGTTTTGGTATCGACAACATTGACTCCAACACAGTGATTAAACAGTTCCGAGCCACAGATAATCAAATAGATTTTTGGAGCGTAACTTAAACGATATATGGCATACCGATCGTTCCTAGAAATGTCAAATGACAAGTACTTGTTCTCAAGCGCTTCCGTATAATTTCCAGTGCATACCTGAAGCCATTCTGATGAGAAGACGCCTGGACAATAAATGAGTGCACCTGGGATATGCATAGCAGCAAATTTTGTCGTTTAAGGTTTCCAAAAGGGAATGTAAGCCTAGCGTCCTGTATATTTGATGCGTAGCAATTCATCAAATATCTACATATGAGTGAATTTGACATTTGAAACTTGGGTCAGGCTAGCACATGAAATGAATTACTGCTCGACATATGTACATATTTAGATATTTCCATGACTGCACTCGAGTGTGTATCTGACCTTTATTATGGTCAACCCGTCTAAAAAAAGCACCCCGAATAGAAATTGGAAATGTATAGAAACCCGATTGATGGGTTGATTAACATTTGTTTACAAACTAAGCTCTTTTTTTTTTTTTTTTTTTTTTGCCACCTGTGAATGTGATAAACAAAAACGAGCAAAACGTAATTGAATTCATTATGAAAAAAAAGAGCAACAACAAAAATAATAAATAAATAATAAAAAGGCAAACTAAGCAGAGTAGACACTGTGATTCCCAAAGACAAGCCAGCTTCAACGCAGAGCGAAACCCTAACCTCAGACCGGTTCTTAGAGGCGGCCTAAATCGGTTAATTAGAATAAAGTTTGAATCACACATCCAGTTCTCAGCCGATCTTCTGTATAAAATGGGCCACCGCTCGAGGCGGACACGCACATTTCCAAGTAAATTCGTTAGAGATCGGACCCACACACAATGCGAGCTGTTAGTGTTTTCCTCGTGGTGATAATCGCGCTCTTTGGCGTGCTGGAGGCGCTGCCGCAGTTCGGTTATGGCGGATACGGCGGCTATGGAGGCTATCCCGGCGGCTTTGGCGGCTTCAGAGGCGGCTTTCCTGGCGGCTATGGCGGCTTCAGAGGCGGCTATCCCGGCGGCTATGGCGGCTACGGCGGTGGCGCCAGCAGTGCCAGTGCCTCTGCCTCTGCAGCGTCCACCGGTGGCGGCTTCGGTGGCTTCTACGGCCGCTAGATTCT